TATACTTAGGCAACGATGAGTTGGACCATAAAATTTTATTTTTAGTCAGTTTCAATAAATGTAAAATAAATTATCTGCATCTTTAAAATTTACATTTAATCTATTAATAAAGTTTATTGGAGCAAGACTCCGTTGGATATAAAAAAAAAAAAAAAAAAGTCATATATATCTTCTCCATTGAAAACAATTTTCACTAGTTGGTTATTATTATACTTGATCCAGATTTTGAAAGGTTGGCCTAACTGAAGGTTCTCAAAACCTGTTTTTTCACAGAAAGCAATTAATGACTTCTTCACAAAATGGTACTTGTAATAATTCTATTTTACTACTGGACATAGATAGTTCCTTTCACAGGTGTGGAACACTTTTAACATTTTCATTTATTTCAACACCTGTTGATGTATTGATGTGCCAAATATGCTAGCAATAGTGAGTGGAACATGTGGAACATCCTCTACGAAAGATATTTTTCCATTAATTACAATGAGTTCTCTACAAACAATGCTCTAAACACATGTACTTTACTTTTAATTTTTTTGCTATGATTACAAGTTATCATTTTTGCTGAAATTGAGAGCTAGCTAAAACTAGGAAATGGTAGACCATTGTAAGTCCAGAGTTATTTTTAATTATAAATTAAATTAAATTATTGTATAATTAAAAAATAAGTATCATAATTCACGTTATACATCATTATATGCACCACAACATTACGTAATCACTTGACACAGTAATTTTATTGCTTATTGTTGGAGGGACCGTTAAAGCCAGATTCGACTAAAAGATCGTCACCTGCCCGGAAGCAAAACTATCATATGACATTTCGGCCAATCAGATTGCGTAAAAATATTTCTCATGGAAAAGAAAAAATCATAAAAATAATTTTTATAAACCCGATTAGTTTATTTTTTGTTATTAATTAATATACAATACAGAATTCTATATGTTAATATATACAATATTTATTATCCTTTATTTGAAATTAAACATATGTATTTTGAATGTACATACATTAATCTACTTTTCAAATTATAAAAAATAAAAAAAAATAATTATTTTTAATCATCCTTTCATTCAAACTAACAAACTTATATAAAAATTTGTGAAAATTTTACTATAATTTTAAGCTGCTGGAGTTTTTCTCATGACAGTAATTAAAACTTTTTTTTAGCAATTTCCTGAAAGCGATTTTGGTTTCTATTAACAATTTTTTTTTATTGATGATTCTTTTCTTTTTCTAATAACGATAATGATTAAGTTAAAATCATAAAGTTTGTATATAGTAAATTTTTAATTTCGGGGATAAAATTTTCGTCCTTTATTTTTTTTTTTACTTAATAACGGCTATCAATTTATACTCATAATTTATTATTTATCTTGTTATTTTACAAAAGTTTATATATTAAGATCTTTTCATATGTATAATTTTACATCTTGAACTTTATAATTTATCTAATATAAATGCTTTTTTTTTTATTGATTTTTAATATAATAATATACAATGATTTTTTCAACTAATATTCTTTTTTTTTTACCTAATAATAAATAACAATAACAATAAAGAAATAAAAGTAAGTAAAAAAAAAATAGATATTTAAATAAATGTAAATTATTTATTTATTTAATATATTTTTTTATATATTTTTTATATAAAATTCTGCTCAGAGAGAAGATTTATACATCAATACTTTAGAAAATTCAGAATTTTTTTTTATAATAATACGATACAATTTTAAGTATGCATCCTAGCAGAATGATGAGAAATAATTGAGAATAAATTAAATAATAAAAAAAAAAAAATACCTGATAAATGATTAAAAAATTTCCTTTTGATCCTTGTATCAAAGAGAGGAAGAGAAATAGGGAGGAAAAGTGAGATAGGGAGGAAGAGTGAGAGATTGATCAAAGAATTTTTTTTTTAGCAATACTAATACAAACTATGTATATACACGTTTATTTGAAATGATTAAATCATGTGATGATGATGATGATGGAAAGTTTTTTACTTATATCTATTGTATATATAGATCCATTTTCATCAAATGAATTTTTTTTTTTGAAAAGCATCAATTTAGTTATCATTATCATATAATTTTTGAGAGAAGATAGAGATATAGATGGTAATGGTGAGAGAAGATAATAATAAAGAGATAGAGAGAGAAAGAGATAGATATATAGAGATAGAGATAATTTGATAACTTTGATTGATAAAAGAGAGAATAGTTTTTGATGGAGAGAAATGAGTTAATTTCATTTATATCTTTTGTTATGAGGATAAATTCCATTAGCAGTACTAATCGCAGTAGTAGCAGTAGTAGAAATTGTAGCAGAAGTATTAGAAACACTAGTAATAGTAATAGCGGTAGTAGTAGTATTAATAGTAGATGAACCATTTCCACCACCAACAATATTACCAATATTACCATTGTTATTTCCACCACCACCATTACTACTTCCCACTCCATTAGGAATAATAATGCTATTACTATTACTATTATTATTGTTATTATTATTATTATTATTATTTGTATTATTATTTGTATTATTATTTGTATTATTATTATTATTATTGCTATTATTAATATTAATATTAATATTATTATTATTATTGTTATTATTATTATTATTCCCTCCAATCAAATAACTATTTTCTGATAATTGTCTTATCCAACCCATTTCTATAAAAAAATCATAAATTCTAGCTGTTTTGTTAACATCGATACGTATAAGATCTCTTGCTTGTCTCCGTCGTAAAGTTCCATTGGTTCGTGCCCATTCCTTCAAAATAGTTTCTTTGATTACCAAATAAGGTCGAGGTAATAATCTTAAACTTTCACATAATGTTCGTTCTGCTTCTGAAAGTAAGTTTACACCTTCTTCATCACTAAGATCAAGTGCTTGAGGTTTACGTGTTACTTTGTGATTTGTTATTGTCACATTATTATTGTTACTATTAATATTATGATGGTGATGGTGATGATTAACGTTGGATGAAAATGATGATGATGGTGTTGTTTTACAACCATATGGTGATCCCAGCGGTGATTGTTGTTGTTGCTATAAATATAAATATAAATATATATATATATATATTATTATTAAAAAAAAAAGGGAATAAATTATCAATAAATATTTTCGATGATAGTAAGTTAAAAAAAAAAAATAAAATAAAAATAATAATAATTAAATTCATTAGTAAATTATATCTTCACTTATATCATCACCGTTATCATCATTATAATAACAAAAAATAAGCATAAATTATCCTCCGACTAATATACCTGTATACATATATATATATATATATATATATATATATATATATATGAAATATCATATGAAACATATGAAATATATAAATCATATAAAATATTTTAAATTATAATAGAACTTATAGATTAGTCGGAAGATAAATTAGTTATCTGACTTCATGTAGCTATTTTTTTAACTTTAACTACACAAGTCGATAACTATGCTTCAAAACAAAACCATACCTCATTTATACTATTTATATTATTTATACCATTTAAACCATTTAAACCATTTATACCATTTATACGTACAGGTGTTTTGGAAATATATCTTGGTGCCAACCGATCACTTGCTGATACGGCTATCAAATGACCATTTTGTGAACGAGCGGATTCTCGATTTGATGCCTATTTAAATGCATATATGTGCGTGTAAGTGTGACTTGTGTATATGTGTGTGATGGTCTGTATCAGATTATATAATAAATGTAGAATTTACCTTTTGTGATTTTGCTTTTTCATATTTAGCAATTTCATTAGAATTCATTATTCCATTTCGACGAAATTCTTGTAATTTTTCTATTTCGGCACGAAGTTTTAGTTCTTCTGCAATATAATAATAATAATAATTTTGTGAATTAATAATTAAATCAAAAGAATGATGAAAATAAACACACACACATATATATATATTATAGTAAGTAAGAATAAAAAAAAAATTTAAAATTAAAATTACTTACTAATTAAACCTTCTCCGAATTCTTCGAATTCTTGTTTACATAAGGTCTGTGCAAATGGTTTAATTTTGGCAAATAATTCCTTTTCTTCTTTGGTTCTATATTTTTCTTCTTCGTGTAGTCTCTAATGGGAAATAAGATCATAATCAAATTTCATATTCTCTTAATATTACATGGGATACATGTGATATTATCTTACATTCTTTTTATAATCTATTAGATTATGACCAAATATAACTTTCTTTCTTTCAGCACGCTTATTTAGTTTTTTGTTGTATATTTCCAATACATATTTCTTCATTACTTTATATATATAATATATATAATTTTCATTATTATTATAATTATTATTATTATTATAATTATTATTTTTCATTATTTTCATTATTATTATTATTATTATTATTATTATTATTATTTTCATCATCATCATTATTATTATTATTATTATTATTATTATTATTATTATTATTATTATTATTATTATTTATATTTCATATTAATATTATTCAAATTTACATGTAAATTAATATGTAATTTATATGTAATTAAGGTATTAATTTGTGATTAAAGATAAAAAATTGAATATGTAATATGTAATAATTTAATAGTTAAATATATATAATTAAAGAAAAAAGATATGATTAATATAAATTATTTATAATAAAATATACAATTAAATAAACAAATAATCACTTACATTTATCTTGATCATTATCCGTTTCGCTTAATTCCAAATCTTTAATAACCAATTCCGCATCATTATCATATTCATTCTCAAATTCAAGTCGATTTGGCATATAACCTGCAATCTCATGATTGGCTGGTAAACTTTGAAGAATCTAAATTAAATTAATTATAGTAAAATATGTATTTAAATTAAAATTATATATATATATATTTATTATTTATTTATTATAGTTATTATAATTAAATATTCATATATATATATATATATTTACTTTTGGGGGTTGATTTTTTTGATTTGAATCTATAAAATAAAATAAAATTGTTTAAAACTTATTTAAAATTATCAAAATTTAAAATATATATTAATAAAATTGATAGTAAATATTATTATTTACTTTGTCCTCGACTTTCTGCATCAATTACTCGTCTTCGTTTTCTTGTCCTCGTTATTTCATCATCAAAATTAAAATTTATATCCATATCCTAAAACAATTAATATATCTAATTAATTAATTTTGTATATTATTTTAATTAAATTTAAAAAATTTAAATTTAAAATTTACCGGTAATGGCCATTTTTCACTATTCACATATACTTCCATATAATGATTTTCACATTCCTCTTTCGTTTTACTACCTATGTATTCCGCAATATCTGCCCAATTTCCTAATCCATGCATTTCCGCTCCCTCAATTAATAATTCTTCTTCATCCGCCCCCCAATCTTCATTAAATAATGGAAATGAATATTGTTCCTAATAAATAATATTTTTATATTTTTTATCACAGAAAAAAAAAGTTTAATAAATAATTAATAAAAATAAATTAATTTTTTTTTTCAAATGATCTTCGATAATCCTTATTATTTAATATTATTTAATATATTAAAAAAAACTTATGATCTAAATTTTTACCAAGACTTTATAATCATGCCAACTTTTGTGTTTTTCCAATTCTTCTCCGGATGTAAAGCAGGTGACACAAAGATAAAAATCTAAGCAAATGGCACAATTTATTCGAACCGTGTTGCCAATATTGGCGTGACATGCGTTACAACGTGTCATGTCAGATAATTGTTATTCCTTAATTTCGTTTACAGGATCTTTTTTTTTTCTTGGTTATCGTTCTTTGTGTTATAGGTTTTGATTGATTAATTGATTGATTGATTTGATTGATTGAGTAGTTCTTTACTTTTTTTTCACTAATTAAGAAAGAGCTATGTTTTTAAATATTAACGTTTTAAATAAGATGCATCCGCCCACCGTTAACAGCGATCTCACCTTCGCTTTTATTTTTTATTTACTACTACTCTCGTAATTTTTGGCGAAATATTAATATAAAAATTTTGTTGTATATCAAAATAAAGAACAATAATATCAGCGAATAGGAGGTTATGTTTACGTCTTACCAACTGACAAAATTAATAATGATGATTTTGACTATATATATATCTTCTTTTGGATACTTTGTAATCACATGATGTGCAAAGCATATTATCTCTAACTTCAAGCAAGCTTTGAAAAAAAAATAAGTGGATTAATCACCCAGATAAATTCCTTAATTAAAGATATATCATCAGGAATTTTATAAAGACATTCTAGTATACTATAAATACAAAACATTATTACTAGTCAACCTTTTGAACTAATTTTACTTTTCAAAAGATAAGTTACAACTAGCAACTTGTAAACAAGAAGAAATGTGTTTATGAATTTTAAGTATAAACTTGGTTAAAATTAAAAAAACAAGAATAACTTAACTATAAAATTAATAATAAGGAACTTAGAATTTATAAAGGTAATTACTAATTATATTAAACTAACTAATAAGTTTAAATAAACAATTTAAGAAATTAGGACTATAGGTTAAAATATTTATCAGGAAGTTACAAGATATTATCAAAAGTTTATTATTAATAATTTATATTTGAAAAATATAAATTAATAGAAAAATAATAGAATTTTAAGTGAAAAGGTATATGTTTATTGTAAAATAAATCAATAATCTTATTAATTAGAATTGTTAAAAAGAATATTAATTCAATATTAAAATTACAATTAAGATTACTATTTAAATTTCACTATTTAGAATTATCTACTTTTGAAGTAGAAAGAAAACTTATCCTTTTTATAATATTGAACTTGGTCAAAGACTTGATCAGTAACTAGGTCAATATCTTTTTCAATAAGTATGTCAATTAGTTGGTCATTAACTTGGACAATTAGTTAATCAATAAGTTGATTATTAAATTAGCCATTATAATTTATATTATTGATTTTACATAATTTGTATTATGATAAATAATAAATAAATAATTCTAATAATATAAATGTTAATAATAATAAATATATAATATAAAATAAAATAATAAAATAAAAGAATAAAAAAATAGTAATGGAGAAAACTATATATAACAATGTTAAAATAATATACTAAAAATGTCAATTTTAGTATATTATAAATATAAAACATTTAAATAATACATTAGAATATTATATTTTAGTATGTTATAAATACAAACCATTCAAATAATACATTAGAATAATTTATTTAGTATACTATTAATATGAAATATTTAAATTATACATTAGAATGTTATATTCTAATATGTTAGTACTGTTCAAATAATGTTATAAAATAGTATTTATATAGTATTGTAAAATGTTTTTATTTAATTTCTGATAACTTAACTAGATATTTTTTTTATTTCTATATATAGAATAGATTCTGAGTAAATTTTAAAAAGACAAAATACATTAAAAATAAAAATTAATTTTGAAAATATTTATAGTCTAGATAAAAATATTAAAAAATGGACTACCTATCTTATAGATCAATTAGATAAAATTACTAATTTAAAACAAAATTAAAAATAATTACATAGAAAAGAAAAAAATCTTAAAAGTTGTATAGAAAATATATTTTTATTTATTTTATAATTAGATCTAGAAATATAATAAAAAAAAAATGAATTGGTAACTATAATATAGAAAGAAGAGATGAAAATAGAAATATAGTTATATATATTAGTTCAGATTTAAATAAGTTAAATAAAATAAAAAAAATATAACTTTTATATTTAAAACAAATTTCACAAGTTGATTTAGAAGCTAATTCAAGATCAAAAATTAAAACATATTAAAAAATAATAAAACAATTTAATAAAGAAAAATCTTTAATCAATAAAAAATTTGAGTATTATTAAAGGTAGAAATTTACTTGGTTCCTTTTACTTCTTACATCAATTCTTTCAAGGAGTTTAATGTATTACGTCCTAAGACACACAGTAATTTGATATATTTCTTTAATAATAAAAAGTATTAGTCTGTTTTTATTAAAATAAACAAATTATTTATTATTGCAATATGGTTATTTGAACTTTATTTTTTTTTTAGTGAGAGGTGTTAATTCACTATATAATTTATTTTCATTTTTAATTTATTTTAAGTTTATTCTTCAATACATTATTTTCTTATTAATATACAGGACTTACATCTTTTGTCTAACTTATAACTAATACTTTTTCTTAATCTACAAAATTTATATCTTTGACTTGTTTTACAACAAACAGTTTAAATCATATAAAACTTATATTTTTTATCTATATTAATAATTTTTATATTTAAAATTATAAACCAGTTTCTTTTTGCTCAGTTTATATTGAGTTTTTAGATTTGTCAATCTGTTGAATCTAGTTTTTTCATCTAGTCACTCAGTTTATTAAACTTGTTAGTATTTTTGAAATATTTTTTTTTATATATCTAGATTATTATTATATATTATTAAAGTTAGGTTATAAGTGTCATGCAATATCTATAGCTTATTCACTTTTGTATATAGTTATAGTTTACTCTTCTTGAAGGTGAGTTTCAAATATCATGCAATTTTTATGTCTTATCTAATTTGATATATAGTTGTAGTTTATTCTTTTTATAGTTGAACTTCTTTTGTAAAATATTTTTTTCTTCAATTTTTCATTATTATATTAAGATTCATTAAATAAAAATTATATATAATATAATAGTTAAGTTTTTATTCCATATAATTATTATTTATTTACTTAACTAAAAGTTAAGGAGTAAAAAGTTGTTAAACAAAAGGCTAAAAAATCAAAAAATTTTAAGTAGAGCAAAAGGTTATTTTTATTTATCAGGAAATTTTTGAAGTTAAATATATTTGATTACTCATATATTTATCTGTATAAATCACATTAATCCACATTAATCTGCATTAATCTGTTTTTATCCACATTAATTTGTATATTACATCAAATATATTCATATATATTTATAAATATATTTGTGTATATTTAGTTTTATTAATTATAAATATCTGCATATATTTGTAAATGAAAATTTCCTGATGTAAGAGCTTGAAAATCTGTTTTTTTAATAAATTGATTTCAGATTTTGTATTTGTTATTTTTTATATAAAATACAGATTTATTTAATTAATTATATGTTGATTATATAATATCAATTTTATAAATAAAAAATTATATATGTGTTTGCAATTGTTTACACAATTACTTTCATCAATAAAATTTCTCAATTATATATACATGATGTCAATATATCAAAACTGTAAAAATATAAATTTCAGATAAAATTTGTATAAATTATACTAATGCATATTTACTTTATTAATTATAATAAAAAGCAAAAAGAAACAAATCTATTTATTCTATTGTGAAATAATATTTTATTATTATATTTAATTATTTATTTATTTGTATTTATTATTTTTATTAGCTTATTTATTATTTAGATAAAATATTAGTAAATTGTAAATTGTGTAATAGGTGATATACCAGGTAAATCACCAGGTGTATTATTTAGATAAATTACCTGTTGCATGTAACAAGTACATCACCTAGGTTGATTACTTGTTGTCAAAATTAGTAAATTCATAAATCTGTAAGTCTCATAATACAGTAAATTAAAGAGATGTCTTCTTTGACCTTTGAAAAAGAAGATAGGAATAGAGATTCAAATAAGAGATTTGAATAGATCTGAAGTTCCTTCTAATAGTCTTTTATTTTATATCTTTAATTTATAATTTCTATTCTTATTTTGTATTTTATCTCTATATTTATCATTATATTTATTAATAAAGTTATAACCTATTAAATATCCCAATTAATTCTTTATATTATTAACTTATCATGTAATCTTCTATACAGTGGCTCACTAAAGTAGTGAATCACTTTTATAATTTTATTTTTTTATTGACAATAATTATAATTATAATTATATTTATATTTAATTAAATAAATACATTATTAAATATCATTTTTCGATAATTTTTATTAACATTATATATATACGTTTTGTGTTACATATAACTTTGTAAATCATTTCCGATTCATTATATATGTAACTTAACATATATATATAGCTAAATTTTTTTTTTAGCCAATTACAGTTAACCCAAAATGCCGGTCACAGAAAAAAAATAGTAAACCACATCTTTCGGCTGAAAAACGTGCTAGAATTTATGCTTTGCTTGAAGAGGGTTATTCCACAAGAACAGTCGCTTTTCGGGAAAAAGTAAGTCAAGCTTCGGTAGTCCGAGTTCGCAATAAAAAAGATACCACGGGAAACTTTGGAAATAAACCAAAGTCGGGTCGTCCGCGAATCATTTCGGTGCACGATGAGAGAAAAATCCTTCGCCTTATCGCCTCTGGAGCTTGTTCTACCGCAACTGAGGTACAAGCAAAATTACAAACGGAAGATAATTTAAAAATTTCTGCCCAAACCGTACGCCGTACACTTCAAAGAAATGGTCTCGAATCACGAATCAAACGTAAGAAGCCTATCCTCCGAAAAAAACACCGTCAACAACGTTTAAAATTTGCCCGTGAAATAAAGAATTGGTCGATTGAAGATTGGAAGAAAGTAGTGTGGTCGGATGAAAGTAAATTTCAAATTTTTGGCTCGGATGGCCGTCAGTACTCTGGAAAAACCCAAGGACCCCTTAAGGAGCACACATGTAAATCCAACGGTAAAACATGGTGGTGGTTGTATTATGGTATGGGGTTGTTTCACCTCTTCCGGTATTGGTA